GAACGGCTCACTAAATCCGCCATCTCATCACGTCGCCCCACTGTCTCCTTCCCTCTGAAGTGTCTCCAACTGCCGTGAGCTCGGCACCAATGCAAGAAAGGACTCCTACTAGAATAAGTACGACTGGTAACCTTTCTGCCCATACACCTCCTCCAACTGTTGCGGACTACTAGGTCTTTATACCAACGGGACTTGGTTGCAACCCAAATATGCCTAGTACAATCCCCAACATAGGAAACTAAATAACGATTATCTCCCGATGATGCCTCCTCGGAAAGCCCCCAAATGCCTGACTGAACACCTCCAATAAGACCTCTCGATCGATGGATAGAAGTGCTGAACTCCACCTCGGTCTTCTTGCTCATACCAATGTGCTCACAGGACTTCAATCTGCAGGTCATAGCACTCCTCAACAATCTGTGCACGGTATAACCAACAATATATCCCAGCACCAAACAATGCCACAGTCTAGCCATAGAAGTAGTCAGCGCCCTATCAACTACTGTGCTCCCAAGTAGATAATACAAGTTACTCCGCCTGACTCCCTTCATCAAAATTATGGACCCCGATGTGACCTTCAAGCGAGAATCCGCCAAGATCACCCTATAGCCTGATGCCTCCAATACCCCAAGTGAAATGATGTTCTTCCTCAGTTGAGGAACGAACCTCACATCAGCCAACTCCCGGATCATCCCGTCACTCATCCGAATCCGAACGGTACCAATACCACCAATAGGGCATCTGTGATTATTACCCATGAGAACAACATCCCCTCTTTCTAACTCCTGAAAGCTGGAGAACCAATCCCTTCTAGGGCATATGTGGTAAGTAGCACCAGAATCCAACATCCACTCGGTGGAGTCGGCAACATCAACTGACGGAAGAGCTGGGCACGAATAGCCCAAAGAATCTGAATCTGAAACATCGCCACTAGCCTTGGCAATATTCACCTCTGAAGCTTGAATAGCTTTTCCTTTATTCTTCACAGCTTGCAATTTTGGGCATTCGACTTTCCAATGTCCATCCTCTCTACAAAAGGCACATTGATTCCTACCAACTGTAGGATGCCCCACTCTAGACTGCGACCTTCTTCCACGGTTTGGACTTCTAGCTCTTGCAACCAATGCACCAGCAACCGGCTCGATGGAAGTCTCCTTGTCTTTTTTTCGAAGTTGATAATTCACAAGGGCTGCGATGACCTCACTATACGAAAGTGATGCCTTTCCATTAATAAGAGTGAGGACGAAGGTCTCATATTCCTCGTCGGGCAAGGAACTCAATAACAACAATGCCTTGTCCTCGTCTTCAACCTTGACATCTACATTCGCCAAATCTGCAAGTAGCTTCGTGTAGTGGTTCATGTGATCACTAATGGATGTCCCCTTCTTCAATTGGAAGCGATAAAGCCTCCTCTTCAAATGCAAACGATTTTTGACGCTCTTCGTCAAATATTTGCCCTCTAGGACCTCCCAAATCTTCTTTGCCCAAGTTTCATTCATCACATCATATTTAAGGTCTTGGGTAAGGCAAGACCTAATCACACCACACGCCGTTCTATTCATTTTATTCCAAACCTTTTCATCAATGTCGGCCGGTTTCCCGTCCAACTCCAATGTATCTTCCAAATTTTGCGCATTTAGCGCATCCATGACTTCGCATCGCCAAAGTCCAAAATTATTTGTGCCGTTGAACTTTTCCACATCTATTTTCATAGAATGTATATTCAAACTTTGGACGGCCTTCACACCAGAAGAACCCTCCCCACTTTTATCTTTTTCAGCCATATATCTCAAAGCACCACCAAACCAATGCGGAAACAAACGAGAAATAGATCCAAATTGAAAAAGACGAGATTTTTACTGAAAAGATCCCACCTTTATCACCAAACGAAGCCCTAGATGAACTTCCAAAGCGATCTACTCCTCCAAAATAGCCCAAGCGTAGCCCGGAGCTCTGATACCAATTGTTGTGCCTCGAGAAACCAAAACAATCGCCAAGAAAGATAAACAACCAACCAAAATCAACAGCACAAACAACCAAACACCAGTTTTACGTGGTTCGGCAAGATGCCTACGTCCACGGGGCAAGGAGGGGGGAGTTTTCACTATTAGAAATCAAGAGGAACAAACTAGGGTTACAAATCTCTCATAAACCCTCAACAATCAACTCTCAATCTCTCCAATTGCTCCTAGAATAGAAGCCCAAAGAAAACTCTCTCAATCTGCTCAAATTCGTCCTTGCTCTTAACCCTAAAAAACACCCAAAGGGTATTTATACAAATCCAAAACGAATCGGGTCGAAAACCTGAAAGCCCAGCCCAAAACAGCGTCGGTCGACCGGACCGGTCGACCGCGATCAATTCCGGTCGACCGGCCCGGTCGACCGACCAGCTCTCAGTAGAAAACCCAAACTCCAGAGAACCGTCGGTCGACCGCACCGGTCGACCGATCTCCTTCCAGACGCACAGGAAGCCTTGTGCACGAATGCGGTCGACCGGGCCGGTCGACCGCCCGGTCGACCGCCACCCTGACAACATGAATCCTGAGCTCATCTCTTCAAGTTATATATAATTAAGAGGGTAGAAAAAGGAAATCAATGGTTTTGACATGGACATTTTTTTTAATAAATGAACAAATATTTTGCAAAAAATATGGAGGTGCATAGTTAATGAGAGGTTATGGACCATTAATTTTATAAATAATGGTATAGTTGTGAGTTATAAAAAAATTAAGAAGGTAGAAATGAAAATTAAAAGTTTTGACATGAACATTCTTTTTTATAAATTGTATAGTTATAGATAGATTAAAGAAGAGATAATCCAATCATAGGGTAGAAAAGCAATGGAAAGGAAAAAAAAAGAGGTCGCACTCTGCCAAGCAAAATACAGCCGCTGGATTTGGTCCGATACCATCGACGAAAAAAAAAAAAAAAAATGCACAAAACCTAAAGAGCATAGCTCTCATCTCATCTCATTAATAAAAAAGCGAAAATAAAAACAATAGCAGTTGTCATCATAATAATAAAATAAATCCTAGTAATAAACGATTCTCATTTCTCACTGATCGCACTCCCAATTTCCCCTCATTTTCTCTCTCCTCTCTCTCTACAACGGAGGTGGGCGAGGTTAGGGTTTCTCTCTCTCTCTCTCTCCAAAAAAGGTACCGCCTTTCCGCCATACCCTCAAACCCTAGATCGATTAAATTCGCAAAATTTCCGTTCGATTTTCAGGGGATTATAACTTAAACCGAGAAGGCGGAGAGAAGCCCTCTCGCCGATTCGAGATTTGATGCAGTGAATGGCCCATCAGGGCAAGTTCGTCTCGGTCAACCTCAACAAATCCTATGGCAAACCCTCGAGTCATCCCCAATCTTATGTATCAAGCGCCCGCTCTCGCCCTGGAACCCTCTCCGCCACCGCCGGCGGAGGCGGAGGCGGAGGCATGGTTGTCCTCTCCCGCCCTCGGAGCTCGTCGTCGTCTGCGCAAAAGAGCAGCGCGCAGAAATTATCGGTACCGCCCCCCTTGAACTTGCCCTCTCTGAGAAAAGAGCATGAGAAATTCGATCTGTCGTCTGCCTCGGGGTCGTCTGTTCGCCCCGGGAGCTCCGGGATCGGATCCGGATCGGGTTCATCGTCCATGGGGTGGACGAAGCCCGCCCCCGCCCTCCTCCAGGAGAAGGAGGCTCCACCCGGCCCCGGCAGATCGGGCAGCAGCAGTTACATGCCTCCGGCTGCCCGGGCCCTGCCTTAGTTTCGGTCACCTCTGCAGATGAGGCCGCAGATGAGACCTTCGTCTCGGTTGACGACTGGTCTAGCAACTGACGTTGATGGGCCGGAGAAATCGGAGAAGAAGGAGGAGAAATACTTTCCGGGTCCTCTCCCTGTTGTAAAATTGACCCATACTTCCGATTGGGCTGATGATGAGAGGGATACCGGACTTAGCCTCCCTGAACGTGGTAGATATCGAGGACCCGATGTGGATGCTCCTTCAAGGGAGTTGTATAAGGATGGTCGGGATGATGAGAGGGATACCGGACTTAGCCTCCCTGAACGTGGTAGATATCGAGGACCCGATGTGGATGCTCCTTCTAGGGAGTTGTATAAGGATGGTCGGGATGCTGCAGGTTCTTGGAGGGCAATGCCCCAACCTAGAGATGAGAGAGCTGGCATGAAGCCCTTTGGGGTTGGAAGAGAGGTTAACAGGGATAGTGGTTCTGCTCGTTCTTCGCCCTATGGGAACAGTGTAAGGGATGGTCTTAGCAATGGCAGAGATTTGGGTTTTGGGATGAGTTCTCAGAATGGGAAGAATTTATCGGAAGGGTTTAGTGGAAGAGGCAGTGATCAACAGAATGTGCGTGGTGGTCGATATGGTGATGTTTTGAATAATCGACATAGAGGAGACGGCTTTCAGCATAATGCTGTGGCAAAGTCACCGTTTTCTTATGGGTCTAAAGGGTTATCTTTGAATGACCCAATACTGGATTTTGGTAGAGAGAAAAGGATGAACTCATCAAATAGTGGGAAGCAATACTATGGGGATGCTGGTTTTGATGCCACTGATCCTTTCTCTGATGACCCGATTGCTGAGGTAAATATGAAAGTTTTCAAGAAGAAGAAAGAGGTACAAAAACATGCTGATTACCATGACCCTGTTAGAGAATCATTTGAAGCTGAGCTAGAGAGAGTTCAAAGGATTCAGGAACAGGAGAGACAAAGGGCGATGGAGGAGCAAGCAAGAGTCATGGAGATTGCTCGGAGGGAGCAGGAGGAGAGGGAGAGGCTGGTTAGAGAGGAAGAGGAAAGGAGGCGGCTGATGGAAGAAGAGGCGAGGGAAGCTGCATGGAGAGCAGAGCAGGAGAAGATGGAGGTTGCTAGAAAAGCTGAGGAGCAGAAGATTGCAAGAGAAGAGGAAAAAAGAAGGATGCTTATGGAGGAGGAGAGAAGGAAAGAGAATGCAAGAAAGAAGCTTATGGAGCTGGAGGCTAGGATTGCAAGGAGGGAGACCGAAGTTAGTCAAAACGAGGACCAATTTCCCCGTGTTGTTGGCGATGAACGAGCTGTTGGCACAAGTGGGAGGGATGTACCTAAAGTTACGGCAGATATGGGTGAGTGGGAGGATGGTGAGAGAATGGTTGAGCACATCACTAGCACTTCTTCTGATTCCTCGATGAATAGATATTTTGAAACAGGTTCTTCTAGGTTACCCTCAAGAGAAACTGGTTCTTCATTTATGGATAGAGGAAAACATGTGAATTATTGGAAGAGAGATTCGTATGACGGTGGGGCGAGCTCAATGTTTCATGAGCAAGATAGCTATGCAAGGAGAGATACTTACAGCCCTGGGAGGGGTTACCCAAGGAAAGATAGTTATGGAAGTCTTGAGGCAGCCCCTATGAGGCCATCTTCTAAGGGCAGTGTGTCAGACCATTCTTCAGGTCCGGATGATTTCCGTTATTTAAGAGGAAACAGATGGAATGTTGGTGGCGAAATTGATCACTTCCCTAGAAATTTTGAGGCTGATGCAGCTGATTTCTTTGATAGTGAGAGGTTTGATGATAGTGCCTGGGGTTCTATTCGTCCTCGTGGAAGTCCTAATGCTTGGTATGCTGAAAGATCATTTCCTAATTCTGAGGTCGATAGTGTATTTCCCTCACATGGAAGATCTCGTCACTCCTTGAGACAGCCTCGTGTGCTCCCTCCTCCATCCATTTCCTCTACACGCCAGAGTCAGAGCTCATTCAGAGTTGCAGCAGATCGACCCATTTCTTCATCATTTGTCGATAACCAATCTAGATATCAGCATGGTGGAAGAAGTGTAGAAGAACCTGTGCAGTCAAACTATGATGGTGGTTACCATCAAAGGGTTCAACAGTCTAGAACACCGGAGGTACTAGAAAGTGATGTTATTTCTTCAGAGCAGAGAGAGAAGGATAGCCCAAGATGTGACTCACAGTCGTCGCTTTCTGTATCAAACCCACCTAGTTCACCCACCCAACTTTCTCATGATGAATTGGATGAAGCTGAAGATTCTCAGGCATTGGAAACTGCTCATGTTGAGGAACAAACAGTTCTATCTGACAGTGGACACATCATGTCTGGGATGGAGATGGAGAACATGAACAGAATGGCGACTGCAAGTTCAGTTTCTCATGGTGAGGATGATGAGTGGGAGATTGAAAACAATGAAGGAGTACAAGAACAGGAAGTGTATGATGAAGAAGATGGTGGCTATCAGGAAGAAGAGGAAGTAGTCCACGAAGGTGATGGTGGCAGAAATCTTGATCTGAGCCAGGAATTTGATGCACAAACATTGGACACGTCAAATTTAACTCACGAGATGGGTCAGTTGATCTCAAGTTTTGATGATAGCGCTGATGCTATCATCCCCATGGCTGATGATCCGGAGACCTCTGGGAACCTTGAGAAGGCAGTTCAGAAAGATGTAGTTGGTGACCGTAAGGTACAAGTTGAGAATTCATTTGCCCAAGAGTCAGCCAGTGAGTCATCGCAACTCATAAGCGAAACTGAGAATTCTCTTCAACAGTTGGCTCTTGATCCAGTATCTTCTTTCACTAGCAATATTTCA